ATATTTGATTTTGATGGGCTTGCCGGTGATGTTTATGTGCTTTTATTTGTTCGCGGTAGTCCATCATCACATTAGCCAGGGGAATGCCTCAAGGTAGGCAGATGCTTGATTGCAAAGTCAATCTTGCGTACTTTTGCACACTTGCGTTGACATGAATAACTTGTCAACTGGATACCAACATGATTGGCCGCTCATGCTTAGTATGAGTGAAGTCCTCTCACACGACGCTTGACTTCGTCGAGCGCAGAAGAAGAAGAACCCGGGGGAACGAGACATCACATGCAGGATGATTGAAGCCAACTTGCAGAAGTATCGCGCAGGAGATCTCTTGAGGGATCGTGTTGCCCATGTGTGCACTTTTGCGTGTTCATGCAAGCCCAATCTGAAGTGTGGACGCCCCATGCTGCAAAAAGAGAAGTCCAATGTCCGCTGCGTTGCGTATGTTGTGAGATAATATTTGATGGAGATTTGATGATAATATTTGATGGAGATTTGAGTGAGTTTGATTGCACTGCGTACTGAATAAAAGGGGGCAGTGCTGGCCCTTCCAAATCTGGTTAGGTGCACCTTGAAGTTTGTGGTCAACCAACCGTCTTAAGCCGCTTGGTGCTTACCCTGTCAGCGTACCAGAGAAGGAACCATTCAACGGGTAGATCCTCCTGTCCCCTTGGGATAGGGGCCGGGCTAGGATGGGTGGTTGGGTGCNNGTGCAACCAGGCAGGGGACCGGGTCCGAGGAGTGGGGATGTTTCCGCTAGTACGCCGTGGCAAGTTGCCTGCTGGACTGGCCTGCTCAGCGTGATGTCAGTGACGCCAACATGTACACACATGGGCGTGCGGGTTTACAAGTTTGAGCTTGTCATTTTTCCACGGCATGCCTACCTGTTCGGGATGTTCCCTCGTTATTCGTGTGCATTTATGTTTTGAGTATTTCTCATGCACTGATTTTGTTCTTGAGGGAAACCATGCATCCAGTCAAACCATTTGACGAACCTGCAAGTATTTTTACACACCGATTTTGTTTTGAGGGAAAAACCTTGCATGCAACCAGTTCATGTGATGCTCACTTGATTTTGACTGCTTACCAAACTTTCTGCATGAGCCGAAGAAGAAGCATCATTTGAGACCACTGCGTGCGAAGCCTCTCTCCTTAAGCTTCAGGCTAGGAACATGTTGCAGTCACAGCGCATACAGTCCATCAGCGTGGATGTTTCACCTAGACTCTGTTGCATAGGGGAGGTTTCCTCAAACAAAATCACAGGCCAATCTTTCTGACAATAGTGCTCTTGACCTGTGCCCTTGGATGTTCATTGGGCCTCCGGCCCAAATGTGGAGGCGTGCACCTTCTTTGGGCAGTACATCCTCTGGCAGCTCTAGTCTTCTGAGCACACACAAGTCGTACAAGTCACCTTGCGTGGGCGATCAGGACAGGGATCTTGGGTCAGAGCCAGCATCCGACAGTTCTGTGTCGTCTAGGAGCTTGCTGTCTCGCCACCTGTTTGCTACCTCAAACCGTGTCATTGCATTGGAATTGGAGCGGACAGTTGCTGCGCTACAGGAACAGCTCCAAGGTGCACAGGCGTTCAGTGACGATCGCTTAGACAACTTGGAGGTGCAATGGCAAGCCATCGATCAGGAGCTTCTTTTTCAAAGAGGCCGCGTCGAGTCAGAGGCAGCCAGTCAGGCAGCAAGGATTGCGCGGCTAGAGGACCGGGTCACGGAGATCCAGACTTTGCTTGTTGCGAGGCTCGAATCTCAAGCGATTGCAATTGCGCGGCTCTCTCGCAGGTTGCAAGAATTGGAGATGCAGCAGGCGTCATGACTGCCGAGACTTCTATGCAGATCACTGCACCAACAGGCAGCCGATGCCAAATGGGTTGCCTCGAAGAGGGCGTGGGCTTTATGAAGTCGGCTCTTTCGATGCACGGGCTTGCGCAGTTCTCACGAGGCAGTCTCGTCATTGACGATGGAAAACAAGGGAGTTCTCAGAGCTTGTGCGCATGTTAACAGTTGAGCCTGTCACAGTTGTGCAATCTGCTTGGTGCAACATTTGTTGGAGCGATGCAACAGTCATGTCTATGCTGGCGGTTCAGACATGTGCAGCAAACATGTTGTGTTGTACCAACTGGCAGACATGTCATTCATGTATGAGAGTCAACCATGTTTTGATCTCTCGGTTATCGGATCCACCCTCCTGTGATTTCTTTGGTTGCCATTCATTTGCTGCAGAGGGACTTTGGTGAGTTGGTGTCCGGCCCTGGACTTTGAGATCCGCGTTTTCTGGAGGGACCGACAACAAGGCTACGAGGCGCTTTCGCTGAAGTTGCTCATCACCAAGGTTCCGCTCATGTTCGTTCTCACGCAGTACGTTGACAAATGCGATGCAGTGGGCATCAGGTGTCATTTGAGTTGGCGGCCAAGAGATGCCAACAAAAAAGAAGCTGATCGGGTCACAAAATATTGTTTTGATGACTTTTGCTGGGACTTGAAACTGTCAGTGACGTGGTCAGAGCTTGACCTTGCAGTGCTGATTTCAATGCTGGAATTCTGCAATTTCAGATCGGATTTGGATGCTATCAGTGCCTCGGCTCCGTCACTCAGTGGCATTGAGTTCCAGAGGTTTGAGAAATCCATGATGCCCTTCGTCTACGAAAGGCGGGGATGAACAAGTTCCTCTCGGTGCATCCAATGGTGACATCCCAACTTCTGAAGGAATTGGGAATGTACACGTCCGAGGCAAATGCAGACTGTGTGCTCCAAAACCTTGTGCGTGATTCCATTGATTCTGATTCGAGCTGATTTGATTGAGTTTTAGATTTTGTATATTTGTAAACACTTTTATATCCTCCTTCCTCCCATATTGTATAGAGTTAAAGTCCTGAGGACTTGAGGTGTGAATATGTGGGGCGTTGTGGGTACAAGATGATATAGGTTCGCCATTGCTGGGACTTTATCTTTACCAGATTTGATTAGTCACCTGAGTGGTTGGAAAGAAAACTTCCGACCTTGCGTGTGATGGACCAACTTGAGGAGTTGTGATTCAAACTTGTGCAGCCTTTGAATGTAAGTCTCATTGCTGGAGACGTCTTGCTATGCCGAAGTCCTTAGTCTTTAGGTGCTTTGGAATACACATCGGCGTAAGGGCTGAATGTCATGTGTTTGTGTGTTGAGACTTCCAGTCCAACCGCAATTCTGCGTGTGTTGGTTGTGACTTCCGGTCCAACCACACCTTGCAAGATGCAGCAAGGTTCCGTGTACAGTCATGCGGAACACCAAGACTTGACCATCCGCCCAAGACTGCGGTACGCCCACGCTTGGCAAATCAGACCAGAGACCGCTCGTGCATGCTTGCTGTAGTGGACGTGCTGGCTGTCTGACGTGCTAGGGCTTTATGTTCCACTGTGCAGTTTGTAACATCATGGAAAGCCTGTAAACACCCTTGTTTGCCATTTTTTGGCGGGGTGACGATGATTTCGGTTCCTTGACGTGACAAGTTTGGATCATATTCTTGAAGATGTTTTCCATGTCAGTTTCATGTGGGACAGTTTGTAGATGCCTAAGTCATGTCAGTGCAGCTATGTCCATTACATGAGCCACAGTCTAAATTCCTTAAAGGGGGTTATATAGGGGATGATATAGGGAAGTATTGTAGGGGTTATTCAGGGGGACATTGGAATTTAGAATATGGCTCACATGTGTGAATGAGGTGTGTTGCTCGAAGCTAAAGTTTTCAGAAGCTGTGGTTGCTTCCGTGTGAAATGGCACCTGAGCCATGAGCACGATGAAGCTCGTGAGCTCAAAATTGCGTATGTTTCCACATGCTCGAAACTGTACGTCGCACATACTCCGAAAACAGCCGCGGCTAGCGCTGATGGAATCCCAAGCAAGAATTTCAAAAACAACCGGGAGCCGATCCAAAGTTTTGAAAGTATCGGTGGTCTTTGGAAATTTTTGGAGGAACTAAGCTTGACAACATTTCACAACAAGAGACCTTGATTTTGAACGTAAACTAAACCTTAACCTTAACCTTGAAGGTGGGCTTGTTGATTATGATAATGGCCCGCTAGTAAGCCTTGAGTCCTAGTTTTCTTGTGAAGGGGAGCCATTCTTCCAGCTGGGATAGTAAGCCTTCAGCTTTGAAAGGAAAATGACGGCATAAAATGGGTAACCTCTAGGAAACCCTAGGCCCGAGAAAGGTGCCCCAAAATCACATTTGACGCCTATGAAGGAATGGTAGGGAACAATGTTGACACAAAAACCAACCCGACAGACCTTGAACCAATTGAGTTTTGGGTTTCAACTGCGCTGCAAACGGTTGGAACACATCATTGTCATTTAATCGGGCCACCCTGCAAGATCTAGAGGTAATGTTTGTTCGACGTTTTGAGAAAATCGAAGTCCGACAGTTTGAAATCCGGCAAGGCATGTTCGCGGCAAGGCATGCTCGACACGTAAAAAGCTTGCGCAACACATGCTGGTGCTCACTTTTTTTCGGGCTTCCAGCAAGATACATAAGTACAGTACAGTTGTGTCAATTTACAAAATTGGAAAAGCAACTACGGTGATTCACATGCCACGTGCAACAGTTCAGAAGCGTGCGCGGCCATTTTCTCGTGCCATCCTGTTCGGGGTGATGCAGGTGATGCTCCGTCAAAAAACAACATGTCGATTTGCAGTCACACGGGCTCAAGGCTCAGCACGGAGTTGAGGTTCCTGGAAAGCCAGGAGGAGAGCACCGTCCAGGTGTGGCACTTGGGGTCTTTGCAACCACAGCGGGGTTAAGGTCACTCTTTGGGAGTCAACTTGTGTCGGCGTAAGTCGGAGATCACAAGATCGGATAGTGGTGTGAACGTGAATGAACCATTGCTTTCCTACCTCATGGTGTTCCTTGACAAGCTGACGTTCATAAGCTTACTTCCAGAAAGGATGGCAGCGGAATGTGGGCAACGGGAAGAGTATTTCTTCCCATTCAGCAACAGATCGCAGATACAGTCGTCTGAGGCAACATGCTAGCGTCTGCACGTCGGCTGGGCATCCGCCGCGGATTGGCTTTGCGTGCCGAAGCTGGACATGGCCAGCCCATGAGGACTTGTTTTTTGATTTTTTCCATTCTTCGCAGACGACGTGCATCAGCGTGGGTTCCCTTCCAGACGTGTCTGCAAGTGGTAGTGTGTCAAAATGACGAGAACGAGTTGTACCAATCATCAGTCCCAGTGAGCCATGTTAGGAGGCAGTCGTTCGGTTACGGGGACCATTTTCCCCCAAATGCTCCAGGCGTCGGAGGCGCCCCCATGACATGTCTCACAACCTTGCAAGCTTGCTGGTGCAGCATGAAGCAATCCTGCATTTGTGCCTTGTGCAGCAAGGAGAGCACCAGCTGCACCCTCCAGAGACCGTGCAAAGCACCGTTAAGTACATTTCCGTACTTTGGTTGCACGTTCCGGCTTCGTTTGGCGGAATGACGCATGTCTTGACTTGACCTAAGGACAACATGACCAACGTGCCGAAGTACAAGGTGGGTTACACTGTTACACGGATTGGAGATGATGAGCACAGACAACCGGGTTAGTTCCAGACCAACTTGAATCGGGAGGAAATCATTGAGGGCATTGGTTACCCTGGGCAGAAGCATTCGGCTGGAGGCTGGCAACACTTGTGATACACTTGGGTCTCCATCTAGATCTTGGCACTTCAGACTTCACTTGAGGCCTATGCACCCTTGGCCGGATCTACTATGGCCCAGGACGTGACGGCCCCAGAATGAAGGCAATCTAAAGCTACTCGCGCTGATTTGGCGTTCTTCTGCTGCTGGCTCGGCTAAAATGCACCTTCATGCCATAGCATGCTTTCTGTGGATCTGACAAGAGGAAGAGAAGGCGACACTTTCCCTCGTGCTATCGTTGTGGTATAGCTCAGCCTGGCCTCGCATCCTGATTCGTTTGCATACGTTGAAGTGGACTCTTCCTGCCATGGAGCGGCCACTGCTGAAGCAGTCATTCAGCAAAACCTTGGGTTTGCCGGCAAACTCTGTCCACAGAGGCTTGATTGGGATGTGGTGCAGTAGCTCAAGACGACAAGCTTACTCAACAACCCCCCAAAATGTGCCTGCAAGCAGGAGCACTGTTGATGGCATGCCTTCTGGGTGTGATACAGTGACTTCTTTGCATTTCCACGGCTTCATCAAAAGCAACGTCCGTACTAGGATCTTTTCACCTAGAAACTATGTGCTAGTGACTAGTCTACAAACTTTGTGCGGAACGAAGTCAAGTTTATTCAATGCCATGCTTGTCCCTACCTACACAAGCAGGTCCGGCTCAGAAGCCAATATCTTTATCGTATTCCTCACCCAAAATGCATCAGTCAGCGAAGGTACGGAATGGTCTATGTGTTTGCCGTGATTGCAGATGACATGGAATCATATTATGGCCTGCATGCAGGTGGAGGAACGGAGCTCTTTGTGGACCGGTAGCATTTAGATCTTAGATCAGCAACCTATCTAGGCTTGTTTTTTTTTTTTTTTAGGTTTTACCTGCCACGCGCCATAATGCCCTGCCTTTCTGCCAGTGTGCAGCTCCTGTGCTGCCACTGTCCGCAGATGACCTAAACTTTGCAATTGTGTGCCTGTTTGAGGATCCGCCTTTGCCAGTATGGTTACAGAGAAGACCATCCATCTAGGAAGAGTATTCGCATGTCAGGGCATTCATGCCCTAGTTGGCGTTGACCTTGTCACTGTCCGCGCTCTTGATGAGTCAGATATTTCTTTGCTTGAACACAGTGAAGTACAACAAACCATTAAGGCCCAAGCTCGACAAGACCTGTGCTGAACGTCTCCGATTCCAGACTCCTGAGCCCCAAATCCCTTCGACTAGAAACGCTAGCCTCCAGCACCACCTAGAGTATCCCAGAGTCTGGCTTCTTGCGAGCTTGGCTTGGCTTTGGCTCGAGGTCTTCCAGTTGTTTGGCGTGGTTGTCTATGCGTTCGCTAGACTCGAGCGTGAGGGGTTGAGGATGCTTTTGGGGGGTTCCGTGCATCGAGGCTAATTTTGAAAAGGTGGAGAAGCGCCTGGGTGACGCAACTACCTTCCTTAGACCCCAGGCGTGCCAGCCTTAGCGAAGCGACTTCAAACATCCATGGCAGAAAACAGAAAACTACAAAAGCAACATGAGATGCGTTTAAGCAGCACCGACAATTTTTTGCGATCCACATGGGTGGTTTTGGCCGAGTAGATAACTGTTTTTTGTTGTGGCCCTTTTTCTGTTGCAGTGTTGGTCTTGATCTGGTTTTGACCGCTTTGCCGTTCCCATTCCAAGGACATGCTTAACTTTGGTGCCTGTGCGCTGTCTTTCGTGCCTGGCCTTCTCTATGATTACTGTGGAGCCGCTGTGGCTATGTCTATAGGCACAGTCATAGGCTGCCTGTCTGCAACTTGAGATCGTTCTGCCGAAGCCAGTGCACCTGAAGACTGCTGCGCCTGCAAGATGTTGAGTGGCCTGCCGAGCCGCCGAGATGTCCAGGTGTGCTACCTCTTCTGGGCCAACTTGATTGGTCCGTCTTTTTCCCTTCGTTGGACACTTTGACAGGCTGGCATTTGGCCAGTGGCCGGGCATGGGGTTGTTTGGCTGTGCCTCAGGCCTCAAAATCAGCTATGCAATCTTTGGCATGGCAGAGGCGCGAGGACAGTCCATTGTCACGGAATAGATCTAGATCACACTTCTAAGCGGGGCATAAGGCTGTCGCACAACATTAGCCGAGGCAGAGCGCTGTTTAGTTTTGAGGCCTTCTTCAGCACCATCGCCACTTTTGCGCCGCTGGAAGCATTTCCTGTTCAGTACGTAGGGGCTGTCTCTGCGGCTGTTCAGGCTTCTTGCTGGCGCTTTGAAGGCTTTTTTTCATTCTCGTACGTTATACTGATACTCCTATAGACGCAAGAACATCAAGACATTTCAGCTGTGTAAGGGCAGAGTCTGCAGGGACATGCGCTAGACCTGGTTGCGGGGTTGGCCCGTCAGCCTTGCTCAATGTGCTGGCATAAAGCTAGGCGCTGGGCCATGCTGATAAGCTTCTTTTGGTGTCGCTGGCCGACATACACCGTTGCTACTTGCATTACCTCCATGACCTGGAGCTTCAGGTCAGTACATCCCTGGGAGCAAGCATTCAATCTGAAGTCTACGTCCTTCTCAAGGACGCCATTACCTCCGTAATGTTATGAAATTGCAAGACGGATTGTGCTAGATGTGGTCTTAGCCCTGCTTCCTTCCTAGAGGTGCAAATTGCAACATGGTAGTTTCATTTGCAGGCCAACTTCCAGAACTTTGTGCCCGCATACTACACGTACATGCTCGTTTGTACGGTGGTGTGTGGAGGATTGATGGTCTTGGCGTTCTGGGAAAACAGCAAGCTGCTCCATAGAAGCAAGTCAAATCTTGCCGATGACCTTGAAGTACGCAGCTTGCAGCCGGGGTACTCAGCATCATTTGAGTTCAACCGATTCAACCCACATATTATGAGTTTCATCAACACCTGTAATCCAAGGTCATCCCTCTTGAGTAGGGACTTCGCTTACATGTCCCTGCTCTTCTTTGTTGGAATTGGGTTCGTCTTCAGCTATCTGGATGCTGCAGGAGATGGCTGCAAAATGATTTGGAAAGCATGTTGGTCCGCGATAAGTGACCGCAGGTCAAATCAATGCCGCCGCTGGTTTGCCTGCAGCGCGGGCCACGATAACGTTTGGCATCTATGGCGCGCTGGCAAGAGTCTGCGCAAATTGCGCTCTGGACTACACTCGTGGAAAACCGTACGGAGGTCCCATGACATACATTGCACTCTCGCTGCTCTCGCTAGCGGCAGGCTGGGCCAGATTGGGCGGTTGACATTGTGGGATCTTTTGTTTTCAAGACACGCAGCAAAAGAGAAAGGCAAATAGGTTTCGTCAACTTCTTTCCGCTGCTCTCACCTGTCTGCTTGATACCCTTGGCCAGCTCACGGATGAGGACCTCCAATCGTGAAGCAGGAAACTCACGGTTTGGTTCTGACCGCATTTTAAATATTTTGAGCCATAAGCCATCATAAGCCAGTTTGCACATGTTTGGCCTGACATGCCGAATTTCCCTGGAATCCGCATCCTGCATATTGAGAGCAGGGAGAAAGCAGATTCTGTTGGAAGCGTTGGAGTTCTCAAGACGGATCTCAACTGTCGACAGTCTGTGTAGACAGGGTCCAGCAGTGCCGATGACGATCATGCCACAAATATGACGCTATTGTCCCTGCTGCAATCGTGGATGTCGTCCTTTTTTTATTTTATCGATCTTTTTTGTGGTGTGGTGGCAATGGTGATGATGAAGCTACGATCATCAAAGGATGATGATGCATATACTTCTGCTGATGATGATGTGGCTGTTGATGCTGTAGCTTTTGTTGCTTTTTCCCGCTGCTGCTGCTGCTGCTGCTGCTGCTGCTGCTGCTGCTGCTGCTGCTGCTCCTCATTGTAGTCGACGCTAGCTCTGTGTTGTCTTCGGGTGGCTACGCACCTTCTTCGTCTGAGCGGAAGACAAGCTTCAAAAAGACTGCAAGCTGCAGGCGTTTAGTTGGGGTTTGAGACTTTGGCTGGCACTCTCTTCAGCTTCACAGGCATCGCTGAGGGTGTGAGCGTTTGTGGGTGGCTGAGGGCCTCTGGTTGCCGTGAATCGGCTGCTTGTTGATTTCGTCCTGTCAGGCTTGGCAGCTGCCGGCTCTCCATCTAATCCTGACACCATGTCTGTGCATGTCCGCTGCCCAGCCTGCCATTTTGGATGAGGACTCTCAGGCTTGCTGGCATGCTTGTCATCTAGGATGGAGCGTCGTCGTAGGACAGTTTTCATATTGAGCTCATGTGGGCATGCAGTCCACTGAGGTCATGAATTTCTTCTGCAGCCTCGGCGCTGGGGGCTTGTTGGGTGTCACTCCGCCGGCCTTGAGGCAGGAAGAATCGTGCACAAATTTCAGTCCTGATGGTATCCCCTGCCAGGCTAATTTTTGGATCTGGGTCGTTGGGCCTCATCTACGGGCCCCTTGCTTTCAGTTCGGTTCAGTTGGTGGAAGCAACTGGCTTGTCTTGGTCGAGTCTCACTTCGCATGGTGTGTGTTGGAAGCGCCGGAGGCACTCGTGGCATTTGCTGTCAGGCTCCTCTACCTTCTGACGGCTTTCGGCATTCCGACCTGGGGCTTCCTGCTCCCAGCGGATGGGTGTGCATCAGGATGCTTCCAGACCTACTGCCGTACAGGCTGCGGACCGGATCCCACTGGCTTCAGCAGGGACCATGTGCTGTAAACACATGTTAACTAGAAATGCCAAGCGAAATGGTAGACTTGTGATCCATGTGCCACGCGCATATGCAGCATTTCTGATGACTGGGGTTGATTCGTTTCTGCAGATGCAAACACGTGGCCAGCCACAAAGGAAGCAAACGCACACTGGGCAGAACACTACCTGGGATAAACTAGGCTTTGAGCCTCTGCCCTCTGGCCTAGACGTCTACCAACTTCAGAACCACGTGATGAAGACCTTCATTCTTTCTTTAGACGCACAAGCTGTTGCTCAGTTGACAGTTTAACGCTTTTTTCGCTCGGCCGCTTCACGCCGGAAACATGCCTTCCTTGTTGTCAACGCGGAAATTGGTGTGATCTAGTCCTCCGATAATGCCTAACTTCTCCTCAGTCACATGCTTCAGAGCAACATGCTGGAACTGCGCTGCAAATTGTGCTGAGCTGGGAGAAAGTCAAAAGAATGGCGCTGTGTGCAAATGTTTCCTTTGCTTAGCAACGACGGGCTTTCCAGCTGCTTTGCTGGATATGTGGAAACCTCTGGTCGCAGTTCTTTGTGTATAAGTGTATAAGTAATATGTGAATTTCTAGCATTGTTGTCCAGGCGATTTTGATTTCAACCGAGCCCTTTCTCGAGCAACTCAAAGCTTATTCTTGCTCAACCAGTGTTTCTAAGCGAGGGAAGACGAGCCTAACTTGTCGGGGTTACAAGCCTCTTTGCACTTTCCGAGAGGTGCAGCTCTTCTTCCTGTTCTAGCACTCGGAGCACTCGTGATTGGATGAGGGTGTTCCGGAACAGAAAGTGTGGAATGTGCAAGATGCTGTTGGACCCGTTTGGCCACAGCGATTTATGCAGTACCGGACAGATGAGAGGATCTCTGCTGCCAAAGAAATTCCCTTGGATGCAGCGTAGGCGTTAGCTGGCAAAGACAGGTGCTGTGCACTCAACGCTCGATCAAACAACACTGCCAGACAGCTCATGAAGTTTGTCAAATATTTGTCCCCAGATGCTCAGAGGCCCAGATGGGCCCAGATGGGCCCTTACAGCTTTTGGCCTTGCCTCCCGAGGCTACGACTATGGCCGCCCCAAGATGCCAAAGGGTGCCCTGGCAGATATGATTTCCAGGAAATCGGGTTAGAGAAGAAAGCAGGAGGAGCAGGGTTCAATCCTTGCAAACGATGTTTGGCACAACGCGCACAGTCTTAGGTGTACCTGTCTCAACAAGCTGAAGTTCTCCTGCAAGTCCAGGGTTTCATTCATTGAGCTGGTTGGTTCAGCATTTGTTGCTACTGGATGACGGCACAATAGATGCAGGGTTGCAGGTTTGAATCAACGTCAGGCGTCGGCTGACGGATTTTGCGTTTCACTCATGTTCGGAGCAAAATGAAGGCAAGCTTGAAGTTTATCAGGTGTACTGCGACATTAATCTAATTCTTCGGAGGATGTTTTGATTTTGAGCATGACTACGTCTGACTAGGTGGCAGGTGCGGAAAGCAGTCATCGTGAAGCAAGCAGGCACCCCTTGTAACTTCATGCAGTGGCCCAGGTTGGTTCGCAAACTTCTTCTACCCTTTGTGGGTAAAGAACTTATCGGTGGCACAGCATGCTGGTGATGTTTTGCATGATGTAGAAGGGTAGAAGCAGAATCCTCCACGAGCCGGGCCTGAGGAGTTCGGCCACATCCTCTTTGTGACAGACCGCTGGATTGCTTGGCGTCTCCTGCGGCACATCCTGGGCATTACGACTCATGACAGCAATGGTGAAGGGAGCATGCTGCCTTTCCAAACTTTCCGAACTTCGTCCCATGCAGGAACCCTCCCAGTATTTCAACAACCTCACAAGAAAGTTTCTGGACCATACGCTCAGGGCAATCCTGGATGTGTTAGGCTATCCTATGCGAGAGTATCCACAGGGGAATGTGCCCAAGGATTTGCTACATCCCCCTCAACATCCAGATGCAGTGCGGCGCTCAGGGAAGTGCACATCGAGCAGTCTAGCAGCAGGCATAGCAAGGCATGCTGTTCATTTCTGCAGAATGGAGGTGAGTAGCGCGTTTCTTGAAACTTAGGTGGAACAAGCAGATGATGGAGGACTGCTTTGGGATGTCTGAGAACAATTTTTGTTGCTGCCAGAGTGGTGTTGAAGTGCTTCTGCTTTTGGCAGGAATACAAGAAGCATCATGAATTGTGAGGGTGATCCCCTGGGATTCGCAAGCGTCTCCGGGGTCCTGCCAGCAGCAGACTCCAGTACAGCATCTGGCGTTTGGCGTTCGGCGGAGATCTTGGAGAAGCTTGAGGCTTTTCTGAATCACAAGCACCCACTTCCAGCTTCTTCCCATTGAACGTGCTGCTACTGTTCCGTCATCCGGATTGCCATCCCAACCATTGAAACGCACATGAAGCTGGGTGTGCACGGTAGCAGCATGCTTGATAGTGTATCCACCCATGCATTTGTATGACTTGATGTGTTTGAAGTCGTGGATTGGATCTGGTGTTCTGGAGAAATCTTGCGCTGGAAGGGCTTGTGGGCAGTTTCATGCCGTATACTGTGCAAGTGGCACCAGAGGTGGCTTGAACTCGTCACCCTGTGATGTGCTTGGCTTCAGGTTGGAGCGGGGAGCTAGTTTATCAGAAAGCCCAAAAGGGGCATTGCCAGAATGGGGCCTTGATCTTCCTGTGGACATCACTGCGAAAATGATGGCATGGCCTCAACATGATGGATTCGACAAGGAGCGGAGGTCTGAGAGACTGGCCAAGGGATCGCTTGATGGCTTTTTGCAGGATACGATCCTGCGCTGTCGTGTGCATCGAACCTTTGTAGAAGGACTGTCTTGCCTGCAAACCATCTCCTTCGGAGAGTTGAGAGCTGCAGTGATCCGACAGCTGCCGAGTTCAGCGAGTTGGAAGCCCTGCAATAAGCGTTTTCAACTTTCTGGCTTGCACTTTGGTCCGGCAAAGGTGCAGCTTGTAGATTGATCCCTTTGAGGAGTTCTGCTGGCACCTTGTCCGCCCCGTTCACGGTCTTGGCCTGATTTCAGCCCATCGGTGGTGGAGCTTTTGGACGAGATTTCCGAGACTGAGTCGCCCAAAGCAGCCGCCGAACTCTTAGGCATTTTTCCCTCAGACATCATTCGCTGTCTATGGTTGATGCAGATCAGAATAGCAAGGACTGTGAACCACGTGAAGCACATGAAATGCAAGAAGAGCTGCCTGGGCAGCCGGAGCAGCGGGAGGAGGCTCAAGGCTGTTTGTCTTGGGACGAGGCTCAAGGCCTGCCCCCTGGGCACGCGCTATGGAACGGTGTCAGCAATCTGATGATTTGCAATCTTCCCGCACGGCCACGGGCTCAGCTGTCATAGCTTACGAAGCCTTGTGGAATGTATGCGCATTCCTATCAGACCCCGAAAGCTGTGCAACTTGCAGTCGTGGAGTTTAGCCTGTCAGACAGCAAGCCTGAGAGTGCATGTCCTCCCAAGGTGCACTCGGCAGGAGCTTTGTACGTTTTTGGGAAGCCTCGTGCCAGGGGCAGCAATGAATGTGACGGTCCCACTTTCAGCAAGCGGCCGCAATCGTGGGTACGGATTCGTTCGTGCTCCAGAAAGTACAATCACGTGCCTTGTGCCAGTTCTTTGGCAGAAGTGTGTGCCGACTCGGAAAAGCACTCGCCCACTGAAGCTGCAGCCGGCCAACTTGAATACATTGCAGGTTTCAATGAAGTTCTGCTGAAAGCACTACATGAGAGCCAACACACTTTTCAGGGTGCACGACTCCCACCCTCTCTCGCATAGGCCTGGTAGCTCGCGTTTTTGAACGCATGAGCTGACAATGACAGAGCTATCAGAGTGTCCGCAAGCAATGGGGACCACACTTCTGTTCCTTTTTTGCTGCGAAGAAGGAGTGTGAATAGTTGTGGTGGTTTGGTGCAGACTTCAAATGCTTACCAAACGCCACTAGACATGTCATAGTAACTTCAGAACTTCAGAACTGTACCTTGCCTCACCTGCAGCTGGATGAAAGATGCAGCGACCGACGCTGCGTGTGCTATTCTTAGGAGCACATGTACGATCATGCACGGGCCGGGGCAGGATATGATGAAGCTGCGCATTGAGACTGCTCAAGCAATGGATCTTTAGCGTGTGCACCTCTTAGAGGGCGACGCCATGAGCGCGAGGGCCTCAGTTTCAGCAGCCGGTGCCATTTGTCATGTCCAGCAACAAGTGCAACATGTCGAGGTGGAGACGGAAAAGTACTGCACAGCCCGCGGCTAGAGATGTGTGAGTAGTTGTAACCATTAGTGCGCGTTGTCTGCTCGCATGGCATAAAGGCAGCATTGCCTGCAATGCTTTCCAGGTCCTGATTCACTATGAGAAGGGTGTGCCGCCGACTTCCGAAGAGCTTGCCAAAAAGTTGGAAAGCAAGAAGGATTCGTGCCTGGTAGTCTGCTGCAAGTAGTGCAGGTCATTACCCGTTGATCCTGGTGCAGGAAAGCATACAAGCAGAGGCTCTCGAGGAGCTCATCTTGCTAATGATAAATGGCGAGCAGAGAGCTGAGATTGAGCATGATTCAGCTCACCCGTGTTCATATGCGACTTATGAGCTCGAGGTCATATCCAAAGCTTTTGATGACCATCATTCGCCTTTGGCTTCAAAGTGGATACGTGCTTTGACCAAACACAGTCACTGGTCATCCGAGGTTTTGTGGTGACCAGCCGCGACCATCGAGTAAAGAAGTTGCTCCAGATTTACTGGGAGATTGTCGAGAAAACCAAGGCGCAGCGAAACCGAAATCCATTGAAGTCCCACCTTTCATGCACGCGGAACGAACAAACAGGACAGTGGCGATTTAAAAGAAGAGATGATCCTAGTCTGCAATGCGTTGCGGAATGACCTTATGCATGCCAATGAGCTCTCTGGCAGCAATGTGTTTGTATTGTACAAGATGGCTCTCACTTATACTTGCTTTGAAGCTGCATGAGCGGGCATTCAGGTATGTCTGCGGCTCAACGCTGAGGCCCTTCGCAGCATGTTGACACGTTCAACATGTGCTAAGCAAAATGTCAGATGTGCATGAGTTGTGCATTCGGTACGTGTGCAATCTTTCAAGGGGAAGCTCCAAGGGTGCCATATCTGCGTGAATCAAGCTGAGGTTATTATGCAAAATGAAGTACTACAGGCCTGGACTCAACAGTCAGCGGATGGCTGAGCTGTGCTGTGCTTCCCAGGATCCTCGAGCCTCTGAAGGAGGCAGTGCTCAGAAACCTGGGCCACAGGCAACTCGGGCTGCACAGAGAGAGCAGAAATCATGCAAGGCCTCCACAGGCCTTCACGGCCTGGTGGATTCCTCGTCAGGCATTCATACGTTCGCCGAAATGCGGTGATGTGCGTTTTCTCCATCGTGAAGAGCTTCGGTGTGGAGGTTCTGCCTGAGGCCGGGAGGAGCCGAGCCCACCGGGTCGACAAGCACTTGTGCACAGTGTCCTCTACTTGGTCGGCCGAGGTGAAGTGTCTCTTTGTGCCATTTCTGATCCATTTCATCAGCATGCGCACACTGGCTGAATCAAGGCTCCGGTAATGAAGGCGACAGGGGGGCAGCGGCGGCACAGCAGGAATCACCATGATGACGACAACGGCAGGTGCAACAACAATAATGAAATCTACAGCAGCCACGGCAATGACAGAAAAAGCAACGCAGACAAGCGTTTCCTTGGTGGTAGTGAGAGGCAAGACTGTCGGCTTCCGGGGCCACGCCACGGACAAGCAACGCAAATTTGACTGAGAACTGGTGCGGGAAATGCCTCAGCATTTGGAGTTGAGATGCCAATGCTGAGCTGGCATCCTTGCAGAAGCTTCTGCTGATTCCGCTTGTGTTGGAGCTGGCAAATTCGATCTTGCACTACCTGTGACTGCATGTCCTAGGTTGCCAACTGCTCGCTTCGTTGACACTCCTTGACGCTGCTGCATGTGGCCTGGTGCGTTTGTGGATCTGCTTCGCTCTTGCAGAGCTGTGGCTGATTGCCTCCCGGCGAGGGGCAGTGCTTGGTCATGTGGTCTGGGCCATTTGGGCTGAGTCTTCGGGCGAAAACTTGTGCCAGACGAGTGGTGCTTGAAACTGCGATTACTGGACCTCTGCAAGCTACAAAACTGATTTTGTAATCTAGCGTGCGATCGGAGCACTGGAGGATCTCCGTGCCCAAGGCTCGCCAAACTTAGGGTAAATCTAGTCGAGCGTTGCAGCCCTCCACAATTCAAAACGTCTTTCGCTTTGGCCCGGTCTGCTGCTACTTGGTCGAGGGAGTTGGAGTTCGCTTGCTGTTATTCGAGATTTCGTGCCCCGACGTCGGGGCTCCTGATGTGTAAGACCTTGCGTGACCAGATCTCGAAGGCTGGCCCGCCTCTATCATGCTGATTGAAACGGCATGACGTAAATTCCGCCTGCTCCGCTGCCGGAGGTTGCGGAAAGATGGCACCAGGCAAGCCTAAGCTCAACGCCTGCGATTCTGGCTGAGCTTCTTCCCGTTAGCTCCTGTTGCAATAGGGTTCACAGAAGCGTTAGACATGCATTGTTTACGTACACGGACACACAACTCTGAACTTTCATGCTGACCTGGTTAGCCCTTGCTTGCTTTAAGGGTCCCTTCACGCAGGGGTGTGCAAGACTTGACAAGCTCTGCGGACCTGAAGGCGAGTTGGGATCGCCAAGGGTGGCTGCATCCAGTGTGAGATTTCAAGGATCGAGGCGAAGAGCGTGCGCGTGCGCATAGCAGATCGTGAGATTGCCCGCCATGGCAGTTTTTCCAGATACCCCAACGCACTAAGGTGAGCATGCCGCAGGGGAGTCGACGCTGTAGAAGGTGGACAACAAATATCACAAACTGCAAGCACGGTTGAGACACGATCATGCTCAGCCAATCTTGCTGGAGAAAAGGGCACCTGGTAGTAGACGTCAGCATTTTTCAACACAGTAGCTAAAAAGCGCCGAGAGGCCTTCGTCATGGTTGCATGGAGAGGCACCGAAGGTCCTTGTGCACCGTTTTCGTCTTGAGTCGCTCTTGATCTGTCAGTGGATAGCCGACCGGCGCGGCATCAAGCAGCACTTGAAACAGACGCTTGCAACAGCTAGGAAGGGGAGATGTAGTTGCCATGGCTATTCCGGGTATTATCAAGAGAGCTAGCCGTTCCTCCCTGAGTCTTAGACAGGTGACGGGCTAGAGCGGCTCCGGATCCTTTGGTGGGTGACCTTTCGTGGTGCTGTTAATACCCCTGCGTGGAAGGGCTTGTCACATTTTAGTCCGTTTGCCCGTGACGAGGTTTTCACGCTTTTGCTACGCCTGTCCAGTGGTTGCCCTTGTGGCTAGCGAGCCTCAACAACACGTAGACCAGCGTGAAGGCTCAGAGAGAGCCATTGCGAACAAGATGGATCTCGCGACGGAATTTCAAGCGCGCGAGAGCTTGGACGGAAGACCAGAATTGGAGGTGTCGCCGCAGCCAGAAGCCAGAGGAAAGGTGGCAACAAAACCCAGAGAAGGTCAGCCGGTCAGCTTGCCAAAGCCAGTGGTGGCGCAAGACGAGGACCGCAGCAAGAGAGTGGCGACCTCAAGGTGGTTGTGCCTGGTTATCTGCTTTCTTATCGTGATTCAGAGACTAGTTTTCAGCGAATCTCACTTTCGAGGAGAGTCAGCCACTTCCAGTTATGGAAGCTTTGGAGACCGTGCGAACATGGCAAATGCGATGCCTGCATCCATTGAGCTGCCGCATTGCAGTCTTCGACCTTGTGGCAGTCAGACTGCGCGTAACCAAGCTGGGTCCCATCCAACTAGCAAGAGTTTTCAGCTTCTTCAAGAGTTCACCTGCAGGGCCTGACATTTCATTCAGGCGCAAAGATCAGGAATCTTCCAAGACTGTACTCTAAGCCCGCTGCTGTTCATTATGACGATGACTGTTCTCATGACTGATGCCGTGTCAAGCATTGACATTCCTGCCTCAATTGCAGATTAACAGGCTGATTTGTCTATGCGTATGATACACGGCTTCTAGCTTTCTCTGATTGCCACTTGCAACAATTTCTCTCAAAGCATGGATTCTGGCAAGCTCTACGGAATGGAACTCCACTGGGACAAGTTTCAATGACCTCAGGTCCTCTGTCATTCCTCAATTAGTGTCCTGGCATCAATTTATTTTGGAACTGTACTCAGGCACCACGGTTGACCGGGACACGAATTGAGGCGTCGGATTGGGATGACCAAGGTTGATTTCTGCCAATCGCGAAAAGTATCGAAACATAGAAACATTCCTCACCCTGTCGGGTACGAAACGGTCTGATCTACAAAGCACTCATTGAGTCGAAGCTCTTGTACGGCCTGAGTTCCTTATGTCCTTCTGTCGCTGATCGTCGCCCTCTAGACAGATTTCAAAACCGCTTCTTGAGAAATATCCTGAACATCCTGCCCGCGTATATTTCACGTATGCCCGACATCGAAGTGCCGCGTAGAGCCGAACGCTGTGCTACCACCGATATGCTTTCGTAGCGTCAACTACTGTTCGGGAAGGCCTCCAGATGTCCACATGAGCATCCATGTATCACGCAAAGTTCATTCCTGGAGGTTGCAATCTGCTACCAGTTGTTATGTGAGAAGGTGGGTCGACCGAGAATGGGTGACTCAAATTCTGAATAAGGTTTTCGAGTTTGCCACCCTCAAAGGAATCGATAGACTTGTGCAGAACCCAGTCGTTCGGCATCGGGCCGTGAGTGTACACGTGCCGCTTGGAGCAAGACTGACTGACTGACTGCCTGGCTTGCGTCTCATTCGTCAGCTTCGGGGAACCAGTGCGCTGCAGCAAGGTCGAAAGCACATGCAAGATACCACTTGGCTACGATTTCTGCAATAGTTCGCACCTCATCGCTGCGGGCCAACCTGCAGTGGTGACAAGTCAGGTCAGCATGGGAACGCCCATGATTTCGACGTGAAATGTTGATAATTTTGGCAGTTTCTTCAGAAGTTGCTTGCAGCACAAGAGCAGCCTGTGCAGCCAAATATGACCCACTGCGCGGTGTCTGAGCGGGCTGAGTGAGCAATCAACTCGTAGTTTGACAGCTGTGGCCCGCATGATGGGCACTCGTGTGGGGGCTACACAAGCGACAGCAGTTCTGTCCATTTCCTAAAGAGACAGCTATTGCATTGTGGATTCTTTGTGCGAGTGAAAGAAAAAAGGCTGATCTTGTTTTCATTATTATCCTCTTCGTCGTCATAGTCATGTTATCGTTTTCGTTGTTGTTGGTCTTCAGCTGCTTCATACACCACATTACACTATTCTTCTTGCGTTCGCTTGCCTTCCGAAGACGTGTTGAAAGCCGGAAAGCACATCACACCACTGCAGCATGATCATGATTTGAAAGGCTCCGGAGGACATTGAGCAGCTGTTGCTTGTCGAGGGCGATTTGTCCACCAAGCGTGCCATGGCCAATTTGGCTTTCAGGATTGGTTTGCTCATGCTGGAGCCTTGAAGAGCAGACAGTAATTGTTTTTGATATGTGCTGAGGAAACGCTTTCCTCATGCTCGTGAATTGCGATCAGGAGCGTGCATGAGTTGCACCTGCATAGAATGAAGATGAGGGTAATGACCCGTTTCACTTCCCGTCCACCCGCGGCAGCATGCACAAACAAGTCATGGTTTTTCTCCTTTTCGGAACATCGAGTTGCGGTAAAGGAGTTGACTGGTCACGGTCTCGCACCGCGGCCTTCCTTATGCCCTTGCGCTTTCAACATTTTTGGACAAGTCTAGCACAGCTTCCACAGCGCAAGCCAGTCCTGTGCAGGAGAGAGCCATCAAGTATGTCTTGAGCTTGCAAGACCAGGTGGCACCAGTTTTGCGATTTGAAGACCGCTTCGGTTGAGTGTGAGGGGATTCCACAATGTGGTTCTTTTCCGGTCAGCTTGTGTAGCCTGAATTCTTGTACATGGGAGGAGATGGAGGAGCTCAATTTTGAAAACAGGGCCAGGAAACAACGAGACCAGCACAATCATCAAATTGCATCTTTGCAGGGTTGACTTTGATATGCAGTTTTGCGGGTGATAGAGAAATCGACTGATAGCAATTGACTCCAGACCAAACGACATGCTTTAACAGAACGTACGCGTGGTACAGTGGCGTGATACAGATGAGCTAGGGCCCATCCTGTGCCATGTCGAGGGTTGTTTGCCAGCAGTGATGCGATGGCAGCAATACTTAGGAGATGCAGCGAGCCAGACCCGGAACAGGAGTTGGGGTGGGAATCGCAGGAAGCTGATGAGAAGGACGATGAGGATGAGAAGGATGTGCTGGTGTGGATGTGGGTGGGGCTGGGGGTGCTAATGTTGGTGCTGCTCCCGCGGCTGCTGCTGCCGCGGGTGCTGCTGCCGCGGGTGCTGCTGCCGCAGCTGCAGTAGGAGCTTAGGCAGCCCATGAGCAACAAGAGCGGGAGTGAGAGGGATAGTAGCATAAGGGGAAAAGCAGCAGATAGAATCCTTTGAAGCCAGAAGCATCCCCTGTGTTAGGATCAGGCAGTGCAGTGTTCGGAGAGCTTTTGAGTCTTTAAGCTCTCGCAAATCTGAGCTGGCAGTTGACGGCAGGCCAGTGGGCTTCTATCAGCAGCAAAACTCGTGCCAGGTCAGTTCTATGGGGGACATTTTCCAGCTGGCCGTTTTGGAGCTGGTACGAAAGGCACCTGTAAAGTAATACAATGTGGCATCCTTTCAGAAAGCATGGCTTCAAACAGGCGATTTGATCAAGTTCACGCTTTTGCAGGTTTGCCGCTCGACATCGGTCAACAAAGGCCGGTTCCTTCGAATTGCGGCTCGGCAGCAGTTCTCACGCGCAAACACCGCCCAAGGCTTACTGGATTAACCATGTTGGATGGTCTGAGGTTTTTGATCTAGCTTCCTCATCCTCCACAGCGGTGCCAGACACTGAGCGAAGCATGCACTTGTACCGGTGACATCCGTCCATTCATCAGTTGAATAACAGGCTGCGTACTAGATGCTTGAAAAGATTGAAGCAAATGGAAGACATGGAAGCCAGGCAATGCAAAAGCTTACCAAGACTGAAGCCCGAACAAACTAACACCTAGGCCAAACAGTGAATGTCCTGAATCCTTGTGTCATTTAATAAAAGGCCACATGTGTCGCTGCGGCATGCTTTTGTGCAGAGAAAGCAGCCACAGTAGGGTGCAGCCACAGAACCTGCAGGAACTCAGAAAGCTTGGAAAAGCAGCATTGGCACCCGCACCCACAGCCGTAGAGGTCCTATGAGTGCGCCTCCTCACTGGTTTCGCTGTCTTCGTCGCCTGTAGCCATACACCAGGCTGCTCAGGCGCGCGAGTGTGCTTTCCCTCACCAAGCTGAGCAGCCTTGGTGTGCTGGTTGCCCCGAAGCTGTCAAGAGCCCTGGTAAGATAAAGCTACGATTGATGTAGCCAGGCTGCTGCTGTTGGACGCTTCTCTTGTGCTAGTCATGGCTGGCGGGCCAGTGTGTACTTGTGACATTCATTTGTTCTTCCAAGCCTAATGATCGGATGAGGATTTGCTTCTGGCTTTTTTCGCATACTGGACAAGGTTTGTATCATGCCATAATGGTCCTTGCTTGCCTGTGGCATACCTTGCTTTTGCAGGCTTATGTGCAGTTGCTGACAGAGCAGTCGGACAACAACGTCAAGCAGCTTGGGAGCAAAGGAGTCAGAGCAGGGTGGAGCAAGCTGAGTCGCAACCTGCCGGCAGGGGCAAAGCAAGCTGCAGAAGCGGGGCAGCATCTCACAATTGCTGCAGGCTTATCGTCCTAGATCGCTTGCGAGACGTGCAGAAGCACCACAAGCAGGCAGTGGCACTCTTGTGGAGCCCAGCATGTTGAGTCGCAAAAGCTAAGAGCTAGAGGGCAACAATGCGCTTCTGCAAATCGGGGGATGAACAAATTTATGATGTCTGCAAGAATGGTGAAGAGCAACGTGCTGTATTGCGAAGGTCATGGAGGGTATGGTGATGGACATTTTCAGAGCTCTCAGCTGTCCATCACTTGACGTGCGGAAGAAGGCCGCATCCCTGGTAAAAGTAGGAGCAGGCGTGCAGTGGGTGACCAAATTCCTAGTACCATTTCATGGCTGGCGCTTGTCAGCTTGTGCAGCTCACATGGCTGATGTGGAGGGTAGTGCAAATGCAACATGTCTACCAGCCGATGCAGGATTTCTATAGGTGGGGGGTATGGTTTTCTGAGAAGGATAGTCAAGCCAGCAATTAGCAAGTGTCACAGCTAGTAATTGACGTGTTTCACCGTGCCATGTCGCTGACCATCAGCGCTCCTGGCCGTTCCCTTTCGCTACCAAAGTCAGTGGCTGCTGTCGGCGTAGAAGCATGGAACCGAAAGGCCGGACAGTTGCAGCTGCATCCGTCTTTTCAAGATGACCTTGGGCTGCGCAATTCCAGGCGCAGCTTGCGCAGATGCTCAAGACGCTGGATGCCTCTTGCAAGGCTCACTCGAAGTTTTTTTGCCTTAGACAAGTCTTCAGTTCTTGAGCTTGCTCTGTGCGCTCGCCCAAGTATGGGCTTCCAATTCAGGAGCTGATCTGATGCTTGATGCTGGTAGGGCTGAGCTTGCACACTCCGCTGCCTCAGTATCAGCTACATGTTGTGTCTGGAGCAGGCAAGAACGGTGAGCGAGGTGATGCAAGAAGTTCGTGGCTTCTTCACCTTGGGTCACCTACTTTATGCATACGCATACCTGCGAATGCTTCACTACAAGGCTTGGCCAGTCCGGTTGCGTGGGCAAAAAGTAGCAAGGGTAAAAAAGCTGATGTTTTCATTGGTTGATGAGGGTGGGTAGCAAGGGTAAAAAGGCTTTTTTTTGTTGGAGTTCATTGCAGCAGGATCCCAACCTGTACTACGCAGCATTGTGGCATGATCCAGCTTTTTTGCTGCCGATCGTGTACACACCCACGGTTGGTGAAGCTTGCCAGAAGCTGCTCCACAGCAAGCAGTGTTTGGACAACCGTGTCCTGTCAAGCTGAGTCAAGCTGCTCTCTTTGCCCGAGGTTTGGCATGCTTCCCTTCTTTCCACGTGGATGCTACGTATCCATATGTGATTGTGGGAAGGTCAAAGAAGTGCTCTTAGAATATGCGGAAGCCATGCTCACAAAGGATGAGAATGGCAAGTTTGAGTGCCAGTGTATAGTGTTCTCAGATGCCGGCCGCATCCTGGGACTTGGAGACCTCGGCTGTTGGGGAATGGGCATCCCCATTGGCAAGCTCGACCTCTACACGGTCTGTGCGGGTTTCAACCCGTACAAGACTGTACCTGTGATTATCGACGCAGGATGCAGTGATGCAAGTGGCAACTCGGCCAAGCTCACGATCCGGGATCATGAGTTGTACACAGGACCGTAGCAGGAAAGCAATGCCAACAAATTGAAGCATTCCTACATGGCCAAATAATTGTCTTGTGAAAAGAGTTTGCCAGCAAGCTGCAGGACTCAAGCAGGACCGGATGAAGCATGAGGATGCCCAAGGCACGCGTATGTCAGCAGACACAACAGGTGATGTGATAGCACGCATCCATATCATATTTATCATATCTTGCAGTCTGCATCAGGTGCCGAAGTGAACACCGCTTACTACGGGCCTTGCTCACTCATTGACGAGTTTATGTCCGCCGCGTCAGACATCTTCAGCCGCAAATGTTTGCTCCAGTTCGAAGACTTCAATACCAACGATGCTTTTCCACTCCTGGAGGCGCTGCGGTTGGAAGTCACACATGCAGTTGGGAAGGAACCTGACAAGAGCAATTGTTACAGGAGTACCGCCACAAGTTTCTCAGCTACAACGACGACATCCAAGGCACCGCCGCCGTTGTTGTGGCAGCGGTGCTTGGTGGCATCCGGCTTCAGAAGCCAGGCTACATGGCTTTGTTGGAGTTAGCTTGTATACTCTTTGTGTCACTCGCTAAAGAGGAACATGATAGCTTTGTGCCTGCTGATGCCCCAGGTTGTAAGGAGCTTATCAAAGAGCTCCGGAAGACGCGTTTCCTTTTCTTTGGGGCTGGTTCTGCAAACTTGGGAAGTGCAGAGGCTGAATTAGGTTGCGAAGTCAGAAAGCTGCAGCATGCTTCTGCAAAAGCCCATTGACATGCATGTTGATGCTTTTAGGTGCCATGCTGCTCCGAAGCGAAGCTGGAGTGCCGGCTGAGTCCATCCTCTGCGCGACCCTTGACCGCACATACCGCACCCAGTTGTCAAGCAGTCTATATGTATCTGCTCTCGGGCTTCCATGCTCTTGTCGCGCCTCTGAGTTTCTTGCCGGGAAGCGCGATATCCGAATTGCAGGTTGCAGAAGCATCCATCAGGTCTGTCGCTACTTATGGTCAGACGCATACTTTGGACTTGGCCGGCTTGAGTGGTACCAAGTTTCATTTGCAGGCACGAGCATTTGAAGAGGTTTGGGTCCTTCAGCTTCACTCTTCATAGCACGTGCGCTTTGATCCTTGGGCTCTGCAGCTTGTCCGTTCTCGCCTTTTTTAGCCTCGATGTTTGAGTTCTGCTGCGGGCACCGTCGCTTGCATCCTTCAACAGGAGGAAGGGAGTGGCCTTTTGCACGTTGGACTGTGCCTTTCCATGTCTTCTCCGTCTTCTCCTGGACTTGCAACTGTTCTGTTTCAACCTAGCACAAACTCGCAAGATAAGGACTACATGGAGCACATTTCCTGGATCAGTTCTTACGTTCTTGCTCCACTGTTTCTGCATGCTGGAAGGCTAATGTTTGACCTACAGAAGTGCTAGACTTCTCGTGTGCTCCTGAATGAAGCAAGGCTGATGTGCGTTGACAGTATGAACAGTACTGATGGCGAGGCCAGCACTAGCTCTAACATTGTGATAGCAAACGTGCTTGCAGCCTACTACTTGTCATGTTAAGAGCCGCAGCCGCAGAGCAGCAGCAGAAGCGGCGGCGGCTGAGGCAGCAGCAGCAGCGGCGGCGGCGGCGGCAGCAGCAGCAGCAGCAGGGGCTGCTGCTGCTGCTGCTGCCGATGATGCTTCTGCTGCTTATGGTTGTGCATCCTGTGCTGCATTGTACTTCTGCGGAAAGCTCCCGCTGCGACAACAAATGCTGCTTCTGCTGCTGCTCCTCCTCCTCCTCCCCGGCTGCTCATCCCAGAGGCGACAACAAAGACGGTTGACCGCAGTGATAACGACACTACTGTTAAGGGCCGCTGTAGCGACTACAGCACCAACAAAAGCGAATTCATGGCTTGCATCACCGATGCTGCCGATGCTGCTAGTTCGGTGGCTAGTAATTTTTGTCCTCATCATGAAGTTGCAGAATCAATATCTTTCCCTCATTTTGACCGGGACTGCCTGACTGCTTCCATGCTAGCAAGATGCCAGCCAAATGCGGCAAGGAAACGCACGTTATCGAGGTAATCCGAGGAACAAAATGAGTTTCGTCTCGGTGTAGCGTGCAAGATCAGCCAAAGTTTGTGGCCAGGAATTCCAAAGGTGTGATATGGAAGTCAGAGAATGGGGCAAAGGGAAACTTCAAGAACTTCGAGCAAAAGGCGGCAGCAGCAGTTGGTGCCTTGCCTGCATTTGTGCAAAACTGCGAGTTGCAAAGCTGCAAGACTTTTGCCGTGGGTCCTGGACGCCGAACGTAGCTTACAAACTGGAGTTACCTGCAGGGGAGCCAACTGGCTATGACTACACGGACCTGATCGCCATAATCAAACATCACAAGCCTGATGTCCTGATTGGTGCACCATGGCTAAGTCCTGGAATTTCGCTTGAGATGCTCGCTTCCTGTTGTTTGTATATGTTGGTGTTGATTGAGGCGGTCGGCCGGGTACCCAACTGCTTCAACAAAGCTGTCGTGGAAGCCATGCTGGAGGTTCAAAAGGATAAGCCTGGAGGCCGCTTCAAAACAGCCGATCAGCAAGCAGCAGAGGGAAGCATGAGTCCTAGTAGGGCGCACCGGGCTGCCGTCCAACTTGGGATTAGGTCAGGTTCATAGTGCAGTGAGGATATCACCCACGCTCCTCTTGACCTGGCATGGCCAAGCAGCCTGAACTGGAGGTGGCGGACGCCCCATCATCTTTGCCCTTTCCAACCCAATGACGCAAGCCGAGCTCACGGCCTCAGATTGCTACAAGTTCTCTGACGGCCAAGTCCCTCGCCTGAAACCAAGATGATGCAGGCGCGACAACGCAGACTCTGTTTGTCACATACACGATGCAAAGATGAAGTGGCTGGATCCGGCCGTTTTAGCATGCACGCAACAGCTCCAGATTTGGAAGAACGTGTTTGCATTACAATCTTGTTGCATGCATAGGATAGAACACCAGTAGGGCTACCGCAAAGGTCATTTTTGGCTCCGGCACGAGATTTCCGCCCGTGGAGTTCAAGGGCAGGTCTGGTACTCTGCATGTATGCAGTGAGCTCAAGCCTGAATTGAGTCCAAACGGGCAGGAAGCGAGTTCCTGGCCAAGTTAACAACTTTTTCATCTTCCCGGGAATGTCCTTTGGAGCCTACTGGTGCGAGGCAGGGTGTCTCTAACAAATGGGCCAGGTATGTCTGTGTTGTACTGCAACGAGGCAAAAAAGATACCAGATAAATGGTTCATGGTGGCAGCAATTACGGTGGCACAGTCCTTGGATGACAAGGACATGGAGGCAACACCTTTTGACAGCGGCAAAGTATTTTTCTGAACAAATGCAGCTTAATATAGCTCTGCGTAGCTGCGTGCCTTGCAGGCAGACTCCGTTTTGCCGCATCCATCTCGCATTCAGCAAGTCAGCCACAATGTGGCTGTCAAAGTTGCTATGGCTGCACAGCGCGTTTCTTGGTAGCAGCTGGATGTGTGAGGCATCAGACAGCGAAAGGAAATAAGCTAGCCAAAGGTCCGGATATCCCCACATCCATAGCCTTGGAATGCCCTCAGTAACGACAGAAGAAGAAAGCAGAAGAAAAGAAGGATACGAAAGGAAAGGACGAAGAAAGACAGAGCAGACAAGCATGCGAGACATGTGAAGACAGAAAGGGCGGTAGCAGCAGGA